TTCTGAAGACTCTAAAGACATGGTTTTTGAAAGAACAAGTTTTAAAGACATGTGTTCTGAAGATTCTCTTTGATGATTTTGGTCCTTCGAAGTATGCTTCATCAACACACATTCTGAAGCCTCTGAAGATTAAAAGATACGATTAAAAGGTTTTAACGTGAGTGAATAGTACATTGTACAAGATCAAATGTTTCCACTACTCTGATTTTGTGGCACAGGGACTGTACTATGGTACGATGTTTTCTACCACTCTCACTGACCATTACACAAAAAGACAGCTGAAATTCAGTATTCCTAATCCACCCTCCAACAGATTTATTTTTGTCTATAAAAGGAAGAGAACTTTTCACGCTAAACTTTTTGCTGAAACGCTGCTCAACTTTCTACTGAAATATATTGTGTAAAGTTTTGTATAGCAAGGAACTTTTGTTCATTAACTTGCAAGCAAGGAACTTTTGTCATTCAACTTGCTATTAACACTATTGTGTTATTTATTTGTATTTCAACTTGTGTAATATGCTTTCTAAGAAGCATCTTTGTAAACACACTTTGTATTTCAACATTGGAGTTTATAGTTCCTTGAGAGACTAGGGTATAATCAGAATTTCTCAAGATGACATTGACAATTAGTCTTTGTGGTTTACAAAAATTGACGGGTAGTCTTTGTTTGTGTCTGTAATCAGTTCGGTTATAGTGGATTAAGTCCTTGTTGAGAAAGAAAAATCACCTTGGTGGGTGGAATGGATTAACTTCGATAATAGTGAACCATGATAAAAATAATTGTGTTAATTTATTTTTGTTCTTGTTTAATCCTTGTTTTTTTGGTTAGTCAAAATGTTTTTAATCGAGAAACCCAATTCAAACCTCCCTTTCTTGTATTTCTCGTACCTTCAGTATCCGTAGTAAACAAAGATATTCCGATGATAAAAGTGGACTTGGCTACTCAAAATTTGATAAGCTAAGTACTAGTAAGACTATATTTGTGAAGGCAAGTGACCAATCCAATAAAGAGAAAGCTAATAAAGTGCAAAATGTTCATCATCATCCTAAGAAAAGGATTATTCAAACAAATCCTTATGTTCCTAGATATAGAAGTAATTTTGTTCCTACATGTTTCTATTATGGTTTAATAGGTCACACGCCTAATGCTTTATATGTAAGGTACTTTAGTGTTCCAAGTGGACATTATGTATGGATCAAGAAAGGAACTAATTATCAAGGACCCAAGGCCTGTTGGGTACCTAAAAAACATAATTTGTTTTGTAGGTTTTCTTGAATCCCACTACAAGTCTATGGTATCTTGATAGTGGTTATTCTAAGCATATTACCGGAGATATAAACAAATTTTCATCTTTAGTTCTAAAGGCCAAAGGATATCTCACATATGGGGAAAACAACAAAGGAAATATTATTGGTGTAGGCAAAGTTGGATCACCACCTTTCACAACTATTAAATATGTCTTTCATGTAGAAAGACTAAAGTACAATCTTCTTAGCATAAGCCAACTTTGTGACAAAGGCTTCAATATTAAGTTCACCAAAGATAAATGCTTAATTGAAGATGAAGCCACACAAGAGGTAAAGCTTATGGGTAAAAGATTTAATAACAATTTCATGATTTCCTTAGATGATTTAACTTTGAAAATAAAATCTCGTATGGTAAACAATAATGACTCATGGCTTTGGTACAAAAGAATAACCCATATTCATATGGAACACTTAAACAAATTAGTTCAAAATGATATTGTGGTTGGTTTACCAAATATAAAATTGGTTAAAGATTAATTATGCGATGCATATCAAAAGGGGAAGCAAATCAAATTAACTTTTAAGCCATAGAGTATGGTAGCAACTACAAGTCCACTTTAATTTTTGCCCATGGACTTGTTTGGTCCATCAAGAACAATAAGCTTTAGAGGTAATGTATATGCCTTAGTTACTGTCGATGATTTTTCTAGATTTTCTTGGACACTATTTTTAGTGCAGAAAAGCGATACTTTCAAGGCATTTAAGAAGTATTCAAAGAAATTACAAAATGAAAAATCATTAAATATTGCATCAATTAAAAGTGACCATGGTGGATAGTTCCAAAATGCATCATTTGAAGAGTTTTGTGAAGAAAATGGTATCCTTTATAATTTTTTAGAACCAAGACTCCTAAACAAAATGGATTGGTGGAAAGGAAAAATCAATCCCTAGTTGAACTTGTAAGAACCATGCTAAGTGACTCAAATCTACCAAAGTATTTTTTGGTGGATGCAGTAAGCACGACATGTTATATAAGCAATCGGGTTATTGTTAGGTCGATCTTGAAAAAGACTCCATACGATATATTTAAAGGAAGAAAGCCAAACATTGCTCACTTCATATATTTGGATATAAATACTTTGTTCTCAATAATTACAAAGACAATCTCGGTAAGTTTCAGGTGAAATCCGACGAAGGTATATTTCTTGGTTACTTTCTCACAAGTAAGGCATATAAAATATATAATAAAAGAACTTTAACTATTGAATAATAAATGCATGTATATTTTGATGAATCTAACCCATCTAAAGAGGACATAGTTGTTTGTGATGATGATGATGATAATATTTTAGAAATGCCTACGGATAACGTTTCCAAAGATGACACAATTGACTAATCAGAACACAACGAGGAAATCTTTCAACAAGAGTAACATCAAAATGATCTTCCTCAAGAATGGATAACCCATTGTGATCACCCAAATGACAAAGTTATCAGTGAGATTAACAAAGGATTTTAACAAGGCTAAATCTCAAGGATGCTTACTTGAATATGGCATTTGTTTCTCAAATATAACATTCCAAGGTTAATGAAGCCTTAGAGTATGACCAATGGATACTTGCCATACAAGATGAATTAAATCAGTTCTAAAGAAACCAAGTTTGGGAACTTGTTCCTAGACCAAGTGGTAAACACGTCATTGGTGCCAAATGGGTGTTTAAGAATAAACTTGATGAAAATGGTATAATTTTTCGAAACAAGGCAAGGTTGGTGGTTTAAGGATATAATCAAGAAGAAGGAATCGACTTTGAAGAAACATTCACTCTAGTTGCAAGGTTAGAAGCAATTAGTTTATTACTTGCTTATACGTGTTCATTAAATTTTCAATTATTTCAAATGGGTGTCAAGAGTTTCTTCTTGAATGGATACATCAATGAAGAAGTCTATGTCAAACAAACTCTCGGTTTTGAAGACTTCAAGAGTCCTTCACATGTCTTCAAGTTGAGAAAGGCTCTTTATGGCTTAAAGAAAACACTAAGGGCATGGTATGATAGTCTTAGCAACTTTCTTTGTGAAGAAGGATTTGAAAAAGTTAAAGATGATACTATGTTATTCATTAGAAAAATCAAATATCACACTTTATTAGTTCAAATCTACATTTACGACGTCATATTCGGATCAACAAACAAAGATCTATGTGAAGAATTTTCAATGATGATGCAAGGAGAACTCGAGATGTCCATGATGGTTAAGATAAACCATTTTCTTGGACTTCAAATTAAGAAATTAAAGAATGACATATTCATTAACTAATCCAAGTATTGCAAGGAATTGTTGAAAAAGTTTGATATGCACAATTGCAAAGAAATAGCTATTCCAATGGGTTCTAGAACATATGTTGATCAAGATGAATATGATATTCCTATTGATATCATCGAGTATCTAGGTATGATTTTCTCATTACTATATTTGACGGTAAGTCGTCCTGGCATTATGTTTATTGTTTGTCTTTGTGCTCTATTTCAAGCAAATCCAAATGAATCTCATCTTGCCTCCGTGAAAAAAAATCATGAAGTACCTCAAAGGAACAACCGATGTCAGGATATGGTATTCTATAGGTAGTGTATGTGATTTAGTTGGTTACTCTGACTTAGATTATGAAGGCTGCTCAGAAAAGCACTAGCGAAACATGCCATATCCTAGGAATTTCTCTAGTATCACAACCTTGTAAAAAGCAAGTGTGTGTTGCTCTTAGTACAACTGAAGCAAAATATATTGGAGTAGAAATTTGTTATGCATAAATCCTAAGGATGAAGCACCAACTTTGCGAATATGGCGTAAACCTTGGATGCATTCCGTTAAAGTGTGATAACATAACTGCTATCAAGATAACCAAAAATCTAGTCACACACTCAAGAACCAAGAGCATAGACATTTAACATCATTTTCTACGAGATCATGTTCTTAAAGGAGACGTTGAAGTCACTTTTTTGGATACACATAACCAATTGGCAGATATTTTTACAAATCCATTAGCCAAAGAACCATTTAATAAGATTCAAAGAGAACTTGGAATATTGGATGAGAATGATGTTTAAATCAACACACAAAGACAACTCTGAATTCAATATCATGATAACGGTTCCCTTCAAATTTTTATCAAGGTACATGCTTTTATGGTTCCTTTAATAAGTTAATTCATAACTTCATGTGTGAATTAACAAAACTTTGATACTCTTCATGATTACCCTATTATGTATGTTCAAATAATATGCTTATCATGTGTATGTTTGTATTGAATGATGTGAGTAATGTATTTTTAAAATGTGATATAAGCCTTCATGCCTTTCATTTATAAAAAAACTTTAAAATTTTGTTGAGTGTTACCGGTTACACGTTGACTTTAACCGGTTACAAGATCGAAAATTTGGTTTTTTCTTTTAATTTTTTAAGAGCCGCGTTGGTGTATTCGATTACATGCTTATGTTAACCGGTTACACCTGCTCAATAATCACTTTTAAGAATTGCTTTTATTTGTTAGTCAAGGTTCTTCCTCCCCCACTCTCTTGGAAATTCCTATGCATTAAAGCTTCACTCACCTTCTACAAAGTCTCCGCAAAATCCCTTAATTACCCTTTCATTTCTCACTTTATCAAATCAAACCCCATCACTTTTGTCCCCCTATCAAAATCTAATTCTCAAATAAAAAATTTACCAAAACCTTAAAACTTCTTCTTCAGCTCGGAATCTCCATGGCTCCATTAAGAAGGGACAAAGGCAAGGGAAAAGTTATCAATAACCCCATTGTTCCTAAACCTGACAGCTTGAACTTGGGAAGGTTGGTTCCTAATCCAAAGGAGAAAATTGACTTCACGCTGACATTCAGAAATAAAACTTTGACAACTCCTAAGTATGGTATTTTTTAACTTTTCTTGCTTCTAGTTTCAATTTTCCTGAGTTATTGAATTATCAAGGTTTAATAACTCTTATTTCTGATCATGGCCCTATTATATCGACTTAGTTCTAACTTTCTATTGCAATTTGACTATTGGGAATGGCTATTTTGTGAACTCTTGTGTCAAAGGGTGAAAGAATTTGGAAGATTTTGAAAGGTGCTTGGATGTCCCCTTTGAGGATGAAAGAATTTGTTAAGGTTTTAGTTGTGACTGGGCTAACTATGATAAAACTAAGTACTACTACAAAATTAGTAGGCTAACTGAGCAGGAAATCTACACTAACAGGGAAAGGAATGCTAGATCTGCTTCAAACCTCCAGATTTTGTACTCTTCAAATATGTTACTTGATTACTAAGGTCTTGGAATTTTGTCAAATCAGTTTTCATGGAGAATCAAGATTTCAAATGACACCTAAGGAATATGAGGTTAACATAGAGGCTGCTAACAAGAATATGGGAAATTTCAAAGACAAGGATGGCATCTTCAAGCATAAAGAGGATGCATCATCTACTTTCTCATTGGTTCCAATGTCTGAAGGTGTTCTGTTGGAACATGTCCCACCATGTTTCAGTAATATTGAATTTAAAAATTTCTCAAGTCCCACATTGTTAGAATATTTTTTTGGTTGAAAAAACCATTTAGTCCCACATTGCTCATGTGATAAATATTAACTATCCTACTTCACTATATAAGGAGTGCATATGTTTCATTCTAAAACACGCCAAAAACTACTCTATTAGTTTTTCCTTCCTCACTCTCATAACTCTGCGTCTCTCGAATTGTCGAAGCGCCATCTTCTTCCCCTTTCTTCCTACTCGTTGAATTTTCTGAGTATTTTCTTGAATTCTCTTTAGAGAATTATGTTAATTTCTCCTCACTTGAGTTGAGAAATTTTCAAGTTTAATCTTTTGGATTCTCTTTGGAGAATTATTTGAATTTCTCTTTGTTGGAGAAATTATTATGAGTGGTCAAATGACCATTATTAATTTCTCTTTGGAGGATTATTTGAATTTCTCTTTGTTGGAGAAATTATTATGAGTGGTCAAATGACCATTATTAATTTCTCTTTGGAGAATTAATTGAGTTTCTTTTTGTTTAAGAAATTATTATGACTGGTCTTTGTACCAGATACTACGTGTGGTGTTGATACCATATTTGAATGGTCTTGTACCATCAGAGGGTGTATTTCTAGACCGATTATCTATCATGCAAGTAGTAATCGTACAGTATAGAACTGGGCTATTTTATCCTGGAGGCGGCGTGGTAGTTCGACTGCTTTGCATAATTTTGAGCAGTACCGTGAAACGTCTTAAAGAGAGCGACCTAGTCCGCGACTCAACCTGGTAATTTCTTCGGTGGCAAATATTTTAAAATCCGAAACCAACAATTTTAAGACGTTTCAAACTGCCATGGCTACCGAAGAAATTATTGGTTCTTTTGCGGATATTGTCTTTGAGAAATCGTTCATGTTTGAGAGAAGTCACTTCAAACGTTGGCAACAAAAGAAGAAGTTCTTAACGTTGAAAAAAGTTGCTAATGTTCTGATTGATGACATTCTGTTGCTCCTTCTGGATCAATCGAACAAACTAACGGTAGTAAATCTGGAGATTTAGAAGGAACACTTAATAGTGTTGAAGTTGAATCTGCTACACAGATTAAAGCGAATGATTTACAGCATAGTAAAGAAATCACCTTATAGAAAGAGAATGAAAATCTCTACAAAATCATATTTTGAATAGACTCGCAGATGATCTGTATGATAATTACAGTTGATGTGATACTGCAAAAAAAGATTGAGAGACTCGGAAAAAGAAGTATGACGTAGAAGCTGGAGCAAAGAAGTATGTTGTTAGTCGCTACTTCAAGTATCAAATGCGAAGTTGTAAGATCGATGGAGGCTCAATGTTACGAACTTCAAAAGATTGCTAAAAAGATCATCACAAAAGGTATGTGTTTAAATGAACAATTTCAAATTGATTTTATTATTGACAAACTACCCCACAATTTGGATGTTTAAAAAAAAACCAAAAAGGGAATCTTAGAGACAATATCAAAAAGAAAAAGTCTTGGTTGTTTTAAACAACAAAAAGAAATTCAGTGTAGTTATGAAGCCATTTGGCAAATGATTAAAGAATCAGAACCACAATATTGCGAACCGAATTAAGAATGGGAATCCTTCTATGATCTCAATAGCTCCAACTAGGCAACAACCACCACCTAAAAGAAATGACGTTGGTTTCCCTTTATTTTAACTATGGAAAATCAAGTCATATGACTAAGAAATGTAGAAGTAAGCTTGAACTTCTTGGTGTTGTCCCTATTGCATGGGTCAACCTAACTAATGGGCAATTTATTGCTATGGTCATTGAAATCAACATGGTTGATGGATATGTTGGTTGGTGGATAGACACATGCGTCTCTCGTTGTGTCTGTTATGATCGTGTTATGTTTAAACATACACGAATACTAAAGATAAGAAAGTGTTATTAGGAGATGGCCAGACCATGAATGTTGCTGGAATTGTAGACATGGAGCTAAATTTCACCTTCAAGAAGACTTTAATCTTAAAGAATGTTATGCATGTTCCTAAGATTAGAAAGAATATTGTTTCTGGTTTTCTTTTAAATAAGACATGGTTTAGTCAGTCTATAGGGGTAGATTTGTATGCCATTACGAAGAATGAAGTTTATATGTTTAAATTTTTTGTAAAGAATTTGAAAATGATATAATAAGAATTTGTAGTGATAGATAAACTGTATGATTCTAGTTTATTAATGAATTTTTTACATGAAATTGTACATGAAACGCTTGCACCATACTATCTTGCAATGAATGGTAAAATAGAAAGAAAGAATAGAACTTTTACTGAACATGTTGTTGCAATTATGATGAATTCTGATGCTGCTCCTCACTGGTGGGGGAAATTTTATTGACTGTTTACTATGTCCTGAATAGAGTCCTCAAGTCAAAATGTAAGATCTCTCCTTATGAGATATTAAAGAAAAGACAATCAAACTTTTCTTATTTGAGAACTTGGGGTTGTCTGACTTATGTCAGAATTCTGGATCCGAAACGAGTTAAACTCGTTAGTAGAGCATATGAATATGTTTTCATTCGGTATGCAGCAAACAGTAAAGCATATAGGTTTTATGACCTAAAGGCAAAAGTGATCATAGAATCAACTGATGTTGAATTCTATGAAGACAAATTTCCTTTCAAATTGAGAAATAGTGGGGGCACACAATCGAGTCACATTCATGTGATAAGAAGCATAGAAAGCAACGACAATGTGGAAACAGAACTTCAACGAAGTAAACGAGTAAGAGTTGCTAAAGACTATAGGCCTGATTATGCGGCTTATAATGTAGAAGAAGATCCAATGAATCTTCAAGAAGCCTTGTTATCTCTGGATGTTTAGTTATGGCAAGAAGCTATCAATGATGAGATATAATCTCTAGAATCTAACAAGACCTGACACTTAGTAGACTTGCATCCTGGTTGCAAACCAATCGGTTGTAAATGGGTTTTGAAAAAGAAACTAAAACCTGATGGAACTATTGATAAATACAAGGTTTGCCTTGTTACCAAGGGTTTTAGACAAAGAGAAAATATAGATTTCTTCGACACCTTTTCTCCTGTCACTAGAATTACATCCATTAGTGTACTTATTTCAATAGCTGCTATTTATAACTTAATAGTACACCAAATGGATGTTAAAACAACTTTTTTAAACTGTGACTTAGAAGAAGAAATCTATATGAAACAACTGGAAGGGTTTGTGATCTATGGATAAGAAAACAAGGTCTGTAAGTTAGATAAGTCTTTGTGTGGGCTAAAACAAGATCCAAAGCAATGGCATGTAAAGTTTGATAACTTAATGATATCGAATGTGTACAAAGTGAATGAAAGTGACAAATACGTTTATTACAAATTTGAGAATTGTATTTGCACTATCATATGTATATATGTAGACGATCTACTCATATTTAGATCAAACATTCAGGCCATTAATGATATGACATCGTTGTTGTGCAACAACTTTGATATGAAGGACCTCGGAGAAGTGAGTGTGATTCTTGGTATCAAGATCACAAAATCCGAGCAAGGAATTTCTTTGGATCAATCACAATATGTGAAAAAGATCTTAAAGAAATATAATTACTTTCACAGTAAACTTGTGAGCACACTAAATGATCCAATTGTGAAGCTGTTTAAGAACACTGGTGAAAGTGTTAGACAAACAGAACATGCGAGCATCATTGGAAGTCTTAGGTATTCCATTGATTGTACTAAACCTGACATTGCATATGTCGTGGGATTGTTGTGCGGGTTTACTAGTAAACCGAGTAATGAACATTGGCAAGCTATTGAGCGAGTCATACGGTACCTTAAAAGGACCATGAATCTCGGTTTACATTATCATAGATTTCCTATTGTACCTAAAGGATACAATGATGCAGATTGGAATACCTTATCCGATGATTCCAAAGAAACTAATGGCTATGTATTCAACATAGCTAGATGAGTTGTATCTTGGAAATCAAAGAAACATACTATCCTGAGAATATAGCATTAGCGACTGCTAGTGAAGAAACAAGTTGGTTAAGATGCTTGCTAACTGAGATTCCCTTATGGGAAAAACATATGTCAGTTGTGTTGATCCATTGTGATAGTACCGCGGCTATTGCAAAAAAATAATAATTTAGAACCATTATTATAATGGTAAAAGACGTCAAATAAGAAGAAAGAACGGCATTGTTAGAGATTGTATCTCTAAAGGAGCTGTAAGAGTGGATCATGTACGCACTGATGAAAATTTAGCAGATCCTTTGATGAATGGATTAGCTAGAGAGAAAGTCTATAATACATCATATAAGATGAGACTAATGCCTATAGAAAAATGAGTTGCTCATGATGGTAACCTGACCTAAATGATTGGAGATCCCAAGAAATAGGTTCAATGGGTAATAACAAGTTATGAGTAATATGAGATGATCATGCAAGTAAAGCATGAATCCTGAAGTAATAAGAGGATGAGATAATAGAAACTCTTAATGAGATCTATACTCTGTATGAGGGAGTACCTAGACTAAAGGATTACTCTTGATAGACTCACCTATGTGATTGTGGAACTTAGGCCGGTTCCTATGGAATTTCAAGGCAGAATTCCTAGAGCCTTCATTAAACTGGGATACACGTGCAGGGCCATTAAAGCACTAGCTATTAGAATACACCTTAAGAAAAGGTTGTGTGCGGGTTTGATGTCTGAGATAGAGTTCAAGACATTTGTGTCACTCTTGTTGAATTAGAATCCTACTTGCTATGCAAAGGTTCAAGTCGTAGACACCTTTGTTTATGTACAATCTTAGAAACGTTTGATGTTACTTCTAAAATAATTTTTTTAAATTCAAGTGGGGGATTGTTGGAACATGTCCCACCATGTTTCAATAATATTGAATTTAAAAATTTCTCAAGTCCCACATTGTTAGAATATTTTTTTGGTTGAAAAAACCATTAAGTCCCACATTGCTCATGTGATAAATATTAACTATCCTACTTCACTATATAAGGAGTGCATATGTTTCATTCTAAAACACACCAAAAACTACTCTATTAGTTTTTCCTTCCTCACTCTCATAACTCTGCGTCTCTCGAATTGTCGAAGCGCCATCTTCTTCCCCTTTCTTCCTACTCGTTGAATTTTCCGAGTATTTTCTTGAATTCTCTTTAGAGAATTATGTTAATTTCTCCTCATTTGAGTTGAGAAATTTTCAAGTTTAATCTTTTGGATTCTCTTTGGAGAATTATTTGAATTTCTCTTTGTTGGAGAAATTATTATGAGTGATCAAATGACCATTATTAATTTCTCTTTGGAGGATTATTTGAATTTCTCTTTGTTGGAGAAATTATTATGAGTGGTCAAATGACCATTATTAATTTCTCTTTGGAGAATTAATTGAGTTTCTTTTTGTTTAAGAAATTATTATGACTGGTCTTTGTACCAGATACTACGAGTGGTGTTGATACCATATTTGAATGGTCTTGTACCATCAGAGGGTGTATTTCTAGACCGATTATCTATCATGCAAGTAGTAATCATACAGTATAGAACTGGGCTGTTTTATCCTGGAGGCGGCGTGGTAGTTCGACTGCTTTGCATAATTTTGAGCAGTGCCGTGAAACGTCTTAAAGAGAGCGACCTAGTCCATGACTCAACCTGGTAATTTCTTCGGTAGAAAATATTTTAAAATCCGAAACCAACATGTTCAAACTCCTCAAATGATTTATGACAAGCTTTTCTATATGGAAAATTTCATGACTCAAGAGTTCGTAATATCCGTCTTGAGATAGCCGACCTTAAGCAAAACTAAAACCAAGAGGAAAGTTAGAAGGAGTCGGAGGAATAAAGAGATTAAAGTATCTCTTATGTCTTATTATGTGTCCTTATATATTTTTATGCTTATGATCATGCAAGTCTATGCTTATGTTTCCTTGCTAGTTTCATAATTATGTTTCTCTTTGATATTGCGTCATTTCAATCATGTTTTTCTAATGGTTGTAATATTAAGACAAGTTTGCTTATATTTTAATTTTATGTTTTATATATGATTAAGTATGGTTATTTCTCTTTGGCTATGCATTTCTATTTTTGTTATTTTTTCCTTCATTTTGATAATGACAAAGGGGGAGAAGATTATGTTGTAGTCTACTAACCGATGAAGAAAAGAAAGCCTCATAAAAATTAACCTATGGATCAATCAAGGGGGAGATATCAATTTCAGAGGGATTATTTGATAAAGCTTCAAGCACTTTATCAAGAATCAACTTTAAGAACCTTAAGTGTTTCAAGTGCAATGGTTGTCATCATCAAAAAAGGGGGATTGTGAAGACAGATCTCCAACAAGTGTTTTCGGTATTGATGACCAAGCATAACTTTCACATGCTTCATCAGTTTTTCCCCAACCAAAGATCATTTTAAAGAAAATTAAATTCTCTAAAACTTTCCCTATTTAAGCTCAAGTCCAAAAAATTCTTCATTAGAGAGATATGGACCAATACATTATAGGTCATTTCAAAAGTCAACAAAAAGACACTTTTTGTCAAGGAAACTTACATCAAGATAAAGTCTTCAAATGCCAAAATGATCAACATAGAGATTGTAGAGGAAATCTTAGGCTTTCCAAAAAATTCCAAGATCACCCTCAAAAGTTGAAAATTAAGAGAGTTATGAACAATAGAAGTTGGGAAATTTTGAGCAAATGCATGATGTTCAAATTGAGCAAACTTGATATTTTGGACCATCGGGCTATTGTTTCAGAGTCCAAACATGTGCTACACTCCTTATCCGCCTCAAAACTTGTTCACACACCTCCCTTTGATTTATTATATTTTATTTTTAATTTTTTATTATTTAAAAAGTCAAAATAAGATAATATAAGTCAAGCCCTCTTACACAAGTCCAAGCCCATATATGTTGACCTAATCCTTCATTATATATTATCAGAAAACTCATATGAGAGGCCACGACGAAAAACATTGTCCAAGAAACCTCCAAAAAATCACAAAATTTTCAAACCTAGGGCAACTTGCAAAACCTATTTGTAGCCTTCCTCGAGTTCAACTAGTCATCCCAATCAATTCCAAAAGTTCTATGGAGTAAGTATGGATCGGTTGTGATGATCCAAAGATCCTGAGACTCGTACTATGCATCACCAGTTTGATTTTTTTCATGAAATTCATATTGTCGTTTTCATTATGTTTTGATGCATACTAACATCACTAATGTGCTTATGAGATTTCAATATGCAGGATAAACCCATCGCATGAGTCTTATAACGACTGAATCATGATTTACCATGTTTGAACTGATCGACCTTGCTTGATTCGTATCTCACCATACAGTGTGATTTAACCTAAACTAAGGCCATCAATGGATTCGCAAGGGTCAATTTAGGGGAATAGGAATCTTTTTTATCATTAACATTTGTTTTTTGTACAAGAATAAAAACACCTCGTCGAAGAAGACGACCGGAGCTAGGGTTCTAGTGCCTCTCTGGTCCACTTTTATATTATATTTAATTTATTTCATTTAATATACAAATGAGGGCGTAGTGCCGCTGGTCAAGGCAAAGGCGTGTAACGTTTGGGGCGTGGGTTCGACCTCTGCGTGTTGTAAATAGTTTTTGTTAATTTTTCATGTAACGTGCAGGTTCATAACATAACCATCATTGCCTGTTTCCTAACACCAGTTCATGGTTAGCTCAGTGGTGAGGCGCGCGTTTGTGAAGGGTAGAGGGCGTGGGTTCAACACCCATCCCTGGTAACTTTTTTTAAAACCCTTATTTTTTTTACTATTTTCACTGATAAACCCTAAATTCACCCAAACCAAAAAATTATTTTTTAACAAATTAATTTTTC